TGTTTTTTCCAAAAAAGTATCAGGTGAAATGAATTTCATTCTAACTTCCTCGGTTTATTCGAAAAATTGGACTGAAAACGTAAAAATCGTAAAGAATCAATGACAGGGGCCCCAATTGGGGAAAACGAAACGGAACCAAAAATCTATTAATTTATCAAAGTTTTTCGTCTGATATACCGCATCACATGTAAAAACTATCTAATTTATTATATGTGAATGTATAGTTTAAAAAATTGCGATGGCAAGAGATTAGGCTTGAGCACAAAATCCATGCTTGAGCATGAGAACGGTTCCATAAACACGGGTCCACGGTTTGTGTTTCCGTTAGAAATTGAAGACACAACGAAAATAGAGTACATGTACTTCTGCGATGTAGCCGGGATCAAATATATGTGTTCCTAAATATTGTTCTAGAAGGAGTTGAATTCTGGTCAAGCGATACAGGTCTTGCGCAGTGTGTCGAACCCATGCACAATAAATTGAACTAAAAACAGCAGCACATTTGAGTTTCACAAATATATATGCAGTTATCCCCCTTTGACCCGGTCGTCTTAATTTCCGTCCACTCGTTCGGCCGTCCTTTTTTTGGCAGACCCGATAAAACGTTTTAGGATATCGCGATTCCCACTGCGTTTCAAATTCTCCCACCGTTATAACTGTTAAAGCTTCTACAGAAGCAATCGGGAACCGTCGGCACTTTCTGTAAACGCCCATTTTCTCGTTTACGGAAAGTGCAGACGGTTCCCAATTGAAGCGAAAGAAGTAGCATCCTTCATCCGGGAATTTAGCTATTTACGCAGGAAGGCTAATACGAAAAACGTGGTAAGGAATCGTCTGTATGTCGCCAGTGTAAGGTAACATTGCATCTGCGAATAATCCAATTCAAATTTGAGTTTTGATATTAACTTGTTTTAAAACTTTTTTTTATAATTAAAATTGGAATTTAAATTTAGAAAATATCAAATTTACCTTATTGTCAAACTTTTAAGATTAATGATAATGAAAAGTGTTTGGTGATATTAAGGAATCTGAAGCAGGCATTGATAAGTATCTGTCATCTTGTTGGTGTAGCATTTGCACTTTTTGCAAAATATAGCAAATTAAATTCAATGTAGAAGTAAAACTGAACACAGATGTTGATGCTGAAAAAAACTGGACCAAGAAACCTAGGTCATCCAAATGAAAAAAAGCTTGATAGCCCTAGCATGCTACTGGCCAAATATCAACATTCTGGGCCTCATGGTTATTCGGAAGAAGTCATTTAAAGATTAAAAATAAATTTGACCCCTGTGACCTTGAATATAAGTCAAGGTCATTCATTTGAACAAACTTGGTAGCCCTTCATCCTAGTAGCTACTGGCCAGATATCATCATCCTGAGCCTTTTGGTTGTTAAGAAGAAGTCGTTTAAAAGATTTTGAACATATTTGATCCCTGTTACCTTGAATAGAAGTCAAGGTCATTCATTTTAACAAACTTGGTAGCCCTTTATCCTAGTATGCTACTGGCCAGATATCAACATAGTGTATTCAGTCAAATGGCAGTTGTTTTCAGTTGGTAGATTCATATACAGAACAAACATCAAGAATGTAAATAATATTAATGAAACATCCATGGATTTATCTCCCCAATACCATCTGCTATATATAGACTGAGGATTTATGCTACTTGTAATATACAATTTGCATCAATATTTTCTTACTAAACGTTTCATCTTTTGTCTTTGTCATGTCAACCTAAGGAGAGAACTTATATAGGCCTAGCCTGCTGTACATTCCTATTGTTTACTCAATAAATTATGATGAAATGAAATACACAATGGGTGAACAGGGTAAGAGAAAAAGAATCATTCACCCCCTTGGGGGTGAGATAGTGAAATCTCAACCCCCGGGAAAGATTCATAAGTTACCGAAATCTTCCCCCCTCAGGTTGAAATTGCCACATGGGGTGTCTGTTGTTCTGTTTGTAGTGCTTGTTCAGATGATAAAAGTTTAGGGCCACCCTAGTGGATGTGAAGAACCCTATTGATTTTTGGCGTGGTCCAGCAGAGGTCAAGGACACCACTGCTAAAAGGAGAATTTCACTTTGTTGCATTTGTCCAGATGATAACTTGAGAACAAATGACCATACAAACATCAAACTTAGTATGTCTGCTGCCCTATTGAATGCAAAGAACCCTATTGATTATATTTAAGATTTGGCTGTCAAAATAATCTGAACAAATGACCACACAAAGATAAGACCAGGGCCCACATGTATAAAACATCTCAAAGTTAAGGAAAATCTCAAGCAATGTATTTTCTATGGGAAATCTCAAGAGTTGAGATGTTTTATACAAGTGGGCCCTGGTGTGTATGTTGCCCTAATGGATGCAAATAATTCTATTGCTTTTCGGCATGGTCTGCCAGAAGTCAAGGTCACGCTGCTGAAAATAGAATTTAGCTTCTCTGAATGATTACATTGGAATTACTGTATGTGCTGCCCTTGGTGGCTTCCTTTTGTGTGAAGTTAAATTCTGCATTTTACCTTACGAGTTACCTGTGAGAGAGCTTGACATTCTTTTTATACCGCTTCGACAAGTTGGGAGCAAATAGTATTTTTTGACTATATATATGTCCATTCGTGCTGAGTGAGCCACTTTTCATAGATGGACATAAAACTTTAGTGTATAGGTACATCGATTGCAATCAGGCGACTTAAAACTCCAGATTTCAGATGATCTGTAATTTCATTTGATGTTCACGTTTCCAGTTACCATTTTGGACTGCGTAGTGGTCAAACAAAATGTCACTCTTCAAAAATCTATAAAGGTCTATGTAGACTAGCCTTCGGGATGAAAATTCATACCCAGTATAAATCTGTACTTAAACAATCTTGAATGTAGACTAGACAAGAATTTCACAGGAGTTGATGTGTCGTCTGTGCAACAGATTTTCTATTTATAGTAAGGATGACCTTGACCTGAAAAGTAATCCTAAGTATCGGTAAGCACTATTGGCAAGAAAGCACTTTGAAGTGAGAGCTCGATCGACCTAAAGAAATCAAGTTATCACATGAAACCAGATTTTCTATTTATAGTAAGTGACCTTGACCTTTGGATCTGAAAAGCAATCCCAAGCAAGCACTTTTAGTAAGGAAGCACTGTATGAACTTTGAGTTCAATCAACCCAAGGGAACTCAAGTTATCTCACGGAAACCTTGTTTCGGACAACACAACCGACGCTGACAAAGTAATACCTATATGTCGCCTCACATTGCAGGCGACACAAAAAAAGGAGGTTACACACTGAATATCAAGAACACAAATTTGTATTTGGGTTTGAAAGCATGTTTCCACCAAATGATAAAAAAAATGAGGCCAAGAAAAATGAGGCTTAAAATGAAGATTAAAAGGATACCAAATGTTCAAATATCAGTTTTTTACTAAATGCATCAATGTTCGTTTCATATTTTGATTATAAAAGAAAGATAAGCTGCTGTGAAAAGTCACTTCATCTCTAAATACATTAAGGGGAACTTTTTGTCTCATCTAGTATTCATTTCAGTAACCTTCACCAGCAAAATTGATATAAGCCTAGTGTTTAACCATTCTCTTTTTCCAACCATTGGTCATTTCAACACCACATAAAATGAATCTGTATACAGAAAAGTATAAAAGTACAAAAAGGAAAACTGAATTAGATGAAGTATTTTATTTCCAGTGATAAATAGCTTGGATTAGTGTACATGGTTGGTAAAATCATGCCACCGATAACTACAACAGCACAAACAGTAATGCTTTTCACACACATACACCTTGTACAGTTGATAAAATTAGAAACATTCTCTCGATGGCAATAAAATTCATTTTCATTTATAAGAGCCTCAACATCGATTTGACAACACCATAGAGTCGGTTGGTCACAAACAATTTTCTTCAGCAACAAAGGGCGATGACTCCATCATTCCATATCCTTATTAGGAGTATAACCACTAGCCTTTTCCTTTTTAGTTTGGGTCTGACAAAAGCAGACTATTGAATTGATATAATTTAACAACTTTTCTTGAGCACATATGCATATGTACAATTTTGTATATAGATAATTTTGGGTGCTGATGGAAATACTATACTGATAAGTTAGCCGCTGCTATCAAGGAAAAATCTCGGAGAGCTTATTTACATACATCCTTTAATATAAAAGTGCGTGGTAACATGGATTTACAATTGATACACTCGTACACAAAATGGTATACAAGTCTTATAACCACTGGGTTTTTAAATTATTTTAAATATGAATGCCTAAAATGCAAACTAGTCAAGATTCATGTAAACAAAAGGTCCAAAAACATCATAGAAATTTCTTTAAAATTGTTAAAGTTTGTATATAATGAACAGAGTCTATCATATGTAAGTATGTGAGATAGCAAAATTCTACCCTCGGGTGTAGAATTAGGGTGAGAACTGCAGCGTTGCTAATCCTGAGGGTAGAATTTTCCTATCCCACATACTAACGACTCTTTTTCTCCCACCTCTTACCCAGGAATTTGGTAAGAATTGACAATGAAATTGCAAATGTAGATTTTCTAGATACTGTACAAATCTACCAAGAACATGTGTGGAAATAACAGGAAAAAGTGTGGTATGCCAAGGTCATACTTTATAAAGGTATCAGGAAGGCTCCCTAGGAAGTTTGTTCAAAACTGTGAAGCAATGTCAGATGGAAATTGTGTTTCGGCGATAGATTGACCTTAATGTCAACTTAATGACGTCATGTATCATATAATATTATTGCAATGATGTCGCATTCTGAAAATCAGCAAATATGGTACTGTCAGAGCATTTTGAATGGATCTGGGTTGTTTTGTTGCACTTCCTAGTCAAAATTTACTGGAAAAATGTGGCTCCCAAACCGGGGTTGCCAGTAGGTACGGCTGTATTATGTGATAGTTATCCGCCATGAGACTCGTGTATCTGGCATAGAAGTGGGAGAATTTTTGTTTATATATCATTCTAACAATACCGTCAATTAAATGAGTTTTTTGAGTTTTGCTTTACAACAATCAACTGTATAATTAGGAAAAAATGAAATAAAACCGATAACAACAGATTGCTTGCCAAAGGTTTAGTTGGATAGTGTTTTGATCCAGTACTGAGACTTACTTCATGCCAATAGTCATTAAGCAGCAGGCAATAAACAAATGGCAACTGGCACTTGGCAATGACATTATTTAAAACTTTTTTTTTTTAAATTATACAAACACTTGCCTTTCCATTCTGTACATGTTATATTAGCATGAATGATGTAACTAGCTAAAAATTTGAGATGTTAGCTCAGGTACTTGTCTGTAGAATTCTCTCACTGACATTGGTTGGAAATTACATTACCAAAACAGGAAATGTTAAGTAAACTTGTATAACTCGCTATGTATCCTAAATACAAGGGTCGACAGTAAAATGTTTAGGCCAGATAACACTGTCAGAGCAAGAAAATGTCCCCTGTACATAAAGATGTGGAAGGAAATAGATTTTTTTTTAAAATGGTAAAGCAAGAACTCACTGTCGCCAGGAAAGTTCCCAGACCAACAGAGCTACCTGCTCACCAGCAATCACCTAGACCAGAGCCACATATTATTACGACTTTTATTTTCACTTTTCATGCAGTTTTCACTAAGGGCTGTTCCAGAATTAACAGTAGGGGAGGGGTGGGAGGCACTTTTTCAGACACCTCACCACCCATAACATCTTCAATCTGATTAAGTATAATGGTAGGCAGATCTGGTTTTAACCCCACCTCCCCATACGCTAAATTATGGAATATCCCTAAATATAAGATGTATTGCATTACACTTGCTTTGAATAAACAAAAAAGAAAATAACAAAGTAACTCCTATTTACATCATCACAGGACTGATAAGCACAATGTTGTATTAATTAATTTCAACAGTGAAAATGATCTCAATCTCCTTTCTCACACAGATTCACTACCAGTTAAGCTTAAATTAGACATGATAATGTTTTTCACCATAAAATCCATCATTCACCCTCTGAAAAATACTTTTATTCATCAAACAAGAACTTAATAATATACAAGTATAATGACAACTCTAGCTCACAACAGCTTCTATTTGATCTTTTCTTTAGAATTTCCACACCAGGAATGAAGAGCAGACATGGGTCCATCTCGAATCACAAATCTGAGGGAATTAGGTGTCTAAACTTTTTGCTGTTCATGAAGCAATATGGAAGATTGTCTTTGGTCCATAGAGATTATTTCAGTAACAGTAGCTGATGTTAAGTTTGTACACTATGCTAGAGAACCTTCAGTAGAGGTCTATTTGTCATGTTTATGTTGACGTACACACTCACACAAGAGAATCACTTAAACTCGTGCTGTGACAGTGACGCAGCAAGCTCTCTTCCTGGGAGTCTCTTGTTGAATCCATCCTTTCCATTCAACCAGTATGTTGTCATCTTTCCTTTTCCCTGTAAGAAACAATTATGTGCCTTCTGTAATAATATCATTTTTAGGATGAATAGCTTTTATATGATTTAAAAAAATGTATTCCAGTGTTGTGTTTTTTTGTACAGTAACCTCCCCCTTAGTTTTCGTTTTGAAGGACTTCCATCGACCAGGTAGCTCAATTGGTAATAGCAATATTACAATATACATTGAGGTCCAGGGTCAAATCCTGGTCTATCCACACTACTTTTTACATGGAGAGCAANCCAGTTCCATAAGGAAGGGTTTCTTTGTACAGGAATCTTTATATGCTACAAAAACAGCAGTTAAAGTATAAAAGAAGAGAGCTTTTTTTCGCTTACTTTTGCCTCAATTTGTCCTCTGCATTCTAAGTGGTAACCGGTCAGGATTTGAAGAATTGTTGCTGTAGCCTCGCTCATATGTATCCTCAATGCTGAAATAGAAAGACCATAATTACCCCTCATTGAATCATAATTTAATCTTAAAATCAATGTTTTATGTGCGATCATGTCATTCTTTAAAGCATATTAGATCAAGGTTTGAAAAGGTACTTTGGTTTGTTTTGTGTTGTACGCCCTATTAACAGCTCTGGTCATTTAAGGACATGCCAGGTTTTGGTGGTGGAGGAAAGCTGAACTTCTGGGAGAAAAACCACCGACCTATGGCCAGTACCTGGTGACTGCCTCACGTAGGGCTCAAACCCGCAAGCAAGTGGTGGAGGGCTAGTGGTAGCAGAATGTCAGATGCCCCAACTACTTGGCCATCTTTGAAAAGATGCCATCCATGATCAATTGCTAATGACAATCTTCACATTGGTCATATACATTATATTTTGTAAGTAGGTGGTGAATTTTCATTCCCTATTTGAGTAAACAAAACTTACCAACAGAGTTGGACTCCATACGGGAAGCTGTGTTCACAGTATCTCCAAACAGACAATATCGAGGCATCTTAAGTCCAACAACACCGGCTACAGCTGGACCTGAAATCAAAATATATGGTTATAACCCATCAATTTAAAAAACATGTATAGAATAAAATAAAAACAAAGTGAGTGGAGGCTCACATAGATATACTCCAACAATACCTCATTTACCCCTCAACCCGCTTTCCTCGTAACCTTTGACCCTTAAGCATTTGCTGATGACTACTAAAATCAACAAGAATTCCACAGGAGTGGATGTGTCGCCTGCTCAGCACTTTTAGTAAGAAAAGTGTTTTGGCTCGAGTTATCGTGTAAACAAGAAAATATTAACAGCAAAAATGATGAACAGCGTTGCTATGTCAAGTGTGATATGCCAAAACGCAGAAAGTTGAAACTCGACAGAAAAACCTGTAATAAATGTTGTACATTATTGCTTCTAGCATTACCATACAAAATTTGAAAGGAATTGATTACAAAATAGAAAAGTTCTTGTATTTACTACACAATGCCCTTATTTGGCAATACAAGAATTCCATGAAAGTGGATGTGTCGCCTGCGCAGGAAGCTGGGAGATTACGAAGAAATAGATACACTTTTCATTTCAAGAAATAATGTTATAAGTAAGCAATAGTCATAGATTATGTTTTTGGATGGCATCATTTTGTTATATAATCTGTTATTCTGGGAAGAATACTCTGAGTTTTAAGGAACTTGCTATGGATACTCATTGTCTCAATTCCAAGTTTAATTTGTATGATTTGTCGGATGGTTTCCCATAAATAAATGAATAAACTTGTGGGTTATGATGTTAAACAGCTAGTGTTGTCAATAACATTTGGAGTAAGACGGCATTTCAGAGGTATACACGGTGGGTCAAGTGGTAGATCGAAGCCGTCCAGTATACAGTTTTAGTGAAGTTTCTATTTATAGTAACAGTGACCTTGACCTTTGACCTTCAGACCTGAAAAGCAATCCCAAGCAAGCACTTTTGGTAAGGAAGCACTGCATGAAGTTTGAGTTTGATCGGCCCAAGGAAACTCCAGTTATTGCACGAAAACAGACTTTCTATTTAGAGTAACAGTGACCTTGACCTTCTAACCTGAAAAGCAATCCCGAGCAAGCACTTTTGGTAAGGAAGCACTGCATGAAGTTTGAGTTTGATCGGCCCAAGGAAACTCAAGTTATCGCACGAAAACCTCTGTTCGGATGACGCCGCCGACAAAGCAATACCTATGTGTCACCAGCTTTTCGCAGGCTACACAAAAAGGGGCATAACTCCACAAAAAATGTATCTTAACTTCTGAAATGTGAACTCGTCCCAAGCTTTATTGGTATGCAATATGTGTACCAAGTTTGAGTTCAATCAACCTAGGGGACCTCAAGTTATTGCACGGAAACCTTGTTTTGGACTACACAACTGCTTTGCAGGCAACACAAAAATTGAATATTCCCTCTCCATTTTTCTTCCAGACTGAATATTTTATTACTTAACCCTTATCCCGCCATTCACTCATGTGTATATTATACACACCACTGCTGTGTATACAATTTGTGGTATACCTCCCACTGCCAAATAAACAACAGCTATATTAATCAAAATTAATTATCTGATTAAACCAACAATAACTTTTTATCTTATTAGAATCCAAGAAAATATATATTAAGTGTTTTGTTCAGGAAGACTTCTTATTTTCATATCAAAAGTAATTTTGGATATCCCGCTTACCTTTCCCGAACTACAGGTTAGAAAAGCTGAGTTTTGTGTGTATTTTGTATGTAATAAAGATGATTTACATCTAATAAACAGTTTATTTATTACCATCGCCTGAAAAACAATTCCAAGTTTCATAATCAAAAGTACTAAGTATTCTGTCGTAAGAGTCGTCCTTATATTGACGTTAAAAAGAAGAGAGAGAAAAATGAATAGGGTCGCCGTCACCTGGAATATCTTTGTTCAAACCGGGCCGTCCCGTGAATGGGGCATTTATGGAGGTACGCTGTGTTGTCGTCGTCTGCAGGAATGTCCACGTCTTTATATGATCGATCAAAGTCAATATCTAGTACGATTTCTGCATCACGTAGTAAATCTTCAGGTCCGAATCCCTAAAAGTCATTGTCAAAAATATCGCTGATAATCTACAGTCGTTCGATTCGTCTTCTGTCAGTTTGTCGACCGCCATTTTTCCGCACTGTCAACAAAACCTTGAATCTAGCTCTCGCGGTCATGGTGGCTTAGTTTATAAATAAACTGTGGGAATCTCGTAGACAGCCAATGAAATTAAGGTATAAATGAATACGTCATCATTTCTAAGTAAAGCTAGCAGTGATTTTCTCACCACAGTTCCGTACTTAAAACGGCAATCCCGGAATCGACATATGCCGCGATCGGCAGTGGAAGGCATGTTTTGCGGAACGACATATGCCGCGCTCGGCAGTGGGAAACGGGTTTATAAAAACGACACATGCTGCACTTGGCGGGATAAGGGTTAATCCGATATGAAAATACTCCAAACAGACTCATCTGGGAATTAAATTAAAATCCTGCAAACATGCATTCTGTGAATTTAAATGTTCACTATTTGTGTTGTCAGAAGGACACAGAAGAACCAGGCACAATCGTTTATGATAGAATACATTTTATGTATAGTAACAGTGTCAGGAGAAAGCTATAATTGGTGGGGGTTAGTTGGGAAATCACAAAAAAGTGCCCCCCTTCCACTACCTTACGCAATATGTTTTATTATCATAACAGCCCAGCTAGTTGATGTGAATATGTTAGAGTACCTGAGTGCATTCCAATACGAAGCTGGAGTGTAGCATCAGGCATATGTCTCATCTTGAAGTCTCCAATAGCACTCATTAAGTCCAGGGACATACTAGCAATTTCACCAGCGTGAAGGTTGCCGTTCCTGATGGGCAGACCGCTGACCACAACATCTGTAGTAAAAAGACACATTAAAAGTTTGAAAATGCATTCCAATTGTACACAAATAAAAAATAAATGTTTGTCCTCTCTCTACACAGGAACATTATCATCAGCACTGACACAGAAAATTGCCCTATTCATAGGTTGTCACTAGTATCAACATTTCTTAGATCCCTCTAACAGTTACAACTGTATAGCTCACCTGGACATTTATGATATGGTACAGCATGCTGGGCCCAAAGAAAACAAGTTATAATATAAACACAATTATACTACCAGAATTAGCTCTGGAGCCTGGACATGCTGTTGAGATCCCAACTCCAAACTATGTGTTTACTGGGAATGAAGAGACAAACAGTCATGCTACCAGGATTCATACCTGCCAAGTGACCCGATTTCGTCTGGTTACATCCGGGATTTTAGCCCTTCACCCGCTTTTATAACTTCACCCGCCGGGTTACGAGTTTGACTCGGATTTCGTCAATTTCACCTGTTTTCACCCGGAATCTTTTCGTATATTAGAAGTTACCGAAGTCACTCGGAATTCTCTAGACTTTTCCATCCTTCTTCACAAGAAAGATGATCTATTTCCTGTTTCCGTTTCTCACCAACAGGTAAGTTGTGAGTTGTTCATATACGGACTAGAACTGTTTTTACAAATGTTTATATAAAGAATGTTGTTACTGAACTTGCCAACAAGTTATTAGTCAGGTTTTTAACGAATAATTGAGTTGTATTTACGTAGAATAGATCGTATTTTGAAGGTAACGTTATGTCTTCTTGAAGGAAGAAGTTTTTATCGGGACTTGCAGGTTCTACTACACGAATTGCTAAAAGAAAAGATAATTGTACACATATCAAATGTCCTAGGAAAACGAGTTATAGTGTACAAAGTCCCGTGGTCGTGGACCAAACGCTGCATTCTGCACTCTAGTCAAAAACACGCACAGGCATTTGATGATTTGTTTCTGTCAATCAAAATGATCCTTACAATAAGAGTTCAAACCCTACTCGTATAAAACTGATATTTTATATGAGAAGGGTGCAACTTCTTGTTGTCAGGACCATTTTCATTGACAGAAACAAAATGGTATTTTATATGAGCAGAATGTGACATCTTATTGTCGGGACCATTTCAATTGACATAAAAAATGCCTGTAAAAACACAGTATCATATATATTATTATGAATTAATTTTATAAGTTGTGTTGTTGACAAATCTTTTTATTTTTCAGCTTTGAATTTGGTATTGTGGATGAGGATCAGCTAGATCTGCTGGAAGAACAGTTCAATGAATGTAGAATGTAACTTTTACATCATTAAAATATTTAAGTTATAATTTAATATCTATTTTTCTTATATTTGTTGCGTAAAAAGCCGTCGCGCACTATGACCCTCTTTTTAATTTTCAAAAGAGGGTCATAACCCTCTTTCAGTATGTCCAGGGTTGGCAGGTATGAGGATTTGCTGTGACAGGTGTCTGGGGCCACCCTGAAGAATTAGTTCCTGACTCGAAATAGTTGAAATCCCTTTCTATATAACCATAAAACACAACTACACAGGTCTAAAATCATATTTTTCTATAAAGCAACCTTTGTCTCTTTGACCTAGAAATCCATTGTTTGTATAATAAAAGGATGAATATATACCTGTGGGGCCTGGGCACAAAATGGCATTTCAAAGCATACTCTTAAACAGCTATCATATTTCAATTAAGATTACTAAAACTATCATCGAGAAATTAAATGAAGAGCTGAAACTCGGAGTCAAAAATTGTTTATTATTTATTAGATTCGCAGTATTTAGCCAAGACTGTTAAATACAAAGGCGAGCAATACAAGCCCTCTGGGCCTCTTGTTAACGCAAGCATCTTTCAGTGTTACTTGTATTTGCTAAATATCACTATGAAATGGGAAATCTTTGCCTCTTTCCCAATCTGCAGCAACACCTGTGTATGAAATACTTACAAGCATCTCCGATGGTCTCCACCTTGTATACATCATAGTTGTCCAAAATGGAATCAAAACAGGTATATAAATCATTGAGGAGGTCAACAATCTGTAGTGGGGTACTGTCTCCAGCAATCTTTGTGAACCCGACAATGTCACTGTCAAAAACAATGGACAACAAAACTTAAATTTCACCAAAACTTGTAGACCTGTAGTGTCTGGAAAATGGCTACCACTTACAACTGAGTGCACTGCAGAGCACCAAGATACAATCAATATTGCTATGTGCCAGCCTTTTTAACAATAACAATGTAACAATATTTATATCATACAAGAATATAAGGCATATCTTTTAAAGTCTACTTTACATTTTTTAACAATGACTATCAGATAATTACTTCATCATCATAGACACGTACTAGTAGCTACAGCTGGCTACTTGGTCCACTAATAATTCATAACCATTTATTTTGACTGTATTTTCTAACCAATGCAGCAGCCTTATACAATTAATACATTACGTTACCTGAAAAAGATTGTCACACATTCGAATGATTCGGCCTCAACAGGTTTGCCATGTTTCAGGTCCTCCATGACCTTTTTGGGTAACATCTGACTAAGGAGTTGCTCTGTTTTTGCCTTCTCTGACACCAGCTCCTTCGTTCTTTCAGCTACGATTACTTCCAAGTTACTTGAATACTTCTCCAGCTATAATGTATATATATAAAAAAAAAAAATTATGACAGGAAAATTCAGCTAGATGTGTTATGTGAATTGTAGCTACACTCTATGGAAACAAATTCAAGTGTCGATCACCACTGAATATATCCCTTTTAGTATTTATTTCATGCACAATTGAAATTTTGACTATGACACTTCAAGCCTCCCAATCTATTTAACTCTGTCCCTTAGCCTCCTGGGTGCCACATTGTTCTTTTATACAATATTTGATTCCTTGGTTCAAAGGATGCTTCATGATATACAAGGGAACCCCACTGGTTAAATTTCAGAAGTTTACAGTAACGGATAGAAAACAAATTATTGAGTAACATGTTTCAAGATGGTTGCAAAGCAATCAGGGCCCAGTTGTTCAAAAGGTGATTAGCACAAATTTTAAAACTGCACCATTGAATAAGTTACAACTTTCCAGATATCAAATATCTAGTAGAGTTAATTTACATGCAAAATTACGAGTGTTTACCATGTATATTGACCAAATTATTAGAGGTTGAAAAATGTTGTCAAACAGTGATTAAGCAATTAACCACCTTTTGAACAACTGGGCCCAGGTCAGATACCTAGTAATCAATTGTTTGTCTGGATTGAAGCCTGCAGATTCTTAATAATGAGAAAATAGAAGTACTAGATAAAACCCAGGAGGTCGGGCATGTAAACCAATATCTTTCAGGTCTCAAACCATGGCCATGCACATGCATCTTTGCTGAAGGCAAGCGTGTACAATCTGACCATCCTTACTGTGATTTTGTACAATTTCAAACCAAATTGGTTCAAAATGGTTATATAAACGACACACTTCTACTTCGATCTTACATACAACAAACACATCCAAATTCAGCAGGCACACATTACCATGTTGACAAGGTTATCAATGAGCTCTCCTTTGATTGGATAAATCTCATTCAGTTTGTCCAGCATCTGGCGGAAGGTTGGTCGGTTGTCGGGATTCAAACCCCATGCTATATCCAGGAGCTGTGTGTTGCATGATAGATAACAGAAATATTTAGATGATAGAATGAATAATGACTATATATTGAATACATTTTACTTATACAGAACTGAATTCAGGTTCACTTTTCTTTGAAAATAACAAAAATAATGTAACCATAAAAATACCATCATACAGTACAATTAGGAGTAATACAATTATGTTGAATAAAAACATTAACAAACAGAAAACATACCCTCCTCATTCCACTCTTTGCTGCATATTCTTCTGGTAAACTGTCATCGTCTATCTTTGGTCTGAACGGCTTTGTCGTGTCTCCTCCGTTTTTAAACCAGACCTGGACAAAACATTTTTTTTTTTACAGAAATTTCCAGTTACTACGATTGTGCCCGACATTATTTGGTCAATACCGGCCATCTGGTAGAGAGTTTGCCAGGGTCTGCCAGAGGAACCCTGTCCCAATTGAAAATTGGCCCTTTATAGTATATTCCCAATGTGAAGATAAGTTTTTCCTTATTTGTTCATAAATACACTTTGGACTTCCTTGACCAGTCCTGATGACTTAAATAAAGTGTACTGAATACCTATTGGTGATATTCAAGTTTCAAAAAAATCATCTTCAGTTATTTAAATTTACAGCCAAGACCAGATTTCACCTAATTTTTTTGCACTTTCTTAAACTTTTGACTTGGAGGTAGACGTGATCATGACCTAATTACAATGTTCTGTGGACTCTCTTTGGCTGATTTAGGTACAATAATTATGGCCTGCAATTACACAAGAAGAATCAGCACTAATACAACATGTCTCCCTTCATTCTAAGAGAAGGCACGATGAAAGCATAGGTCAATATTTAAACTATTTTTCCAATTTGTAGCAATTTATTGGCAAAAAGTCCCCACTTTAGGACAGGGTCTTATTCTCAAACTACCTAGCAAAACCCCTGCCAGGTGATATTGCATGATTACAACTAGAGGTTTGGAAAAAATGTGACTCCTGCCAAATTACAAGGAAAAAAATTGGAAACCAAGAGACTGTATAATATTTGTAGTTATCTGGACAAATATCTCAAGGACAAAAGGAGAATAACTCTGTAAATGATGGTAAGCATCAGGTCAATTTAAACCCCTGCATCCCTCTATTGATTAAGAACATTAAACCCCTGCATCCCTCTATTGATTAAGAAAATTAAACCCCTGCATCCCTCTATTGAATAAGAAAATTAAACCCCTGCATCCCTCTATTGAATAAGAAACTTAAACCCCTGCATCCCTCTATTGATGAAGAAACTTAAACCCCTGCATCCCTCTATTGATGAAGAAACTTAAACCCCTGCATCCCTCTATTGATGAAGAAACTTAAACCCCTGCATCCCTCTATTGATGAAGAAACTTAAACCCCTGCATCCCTCTATTGATGAAGAAACTTAAACCCCTGCATCCCTCTATTGATGAAGAAACTTAAACCCCTGCATCCCTCTATTGATGAAGAAACTTAAACCCCTGCATCCCTCTATTGATGAAGAAACTTAAACCCCTGCATCCCTCTATTGATGAAGAAACTTAAACCCCTGCATCCCTCTATTGATGAAGAAACTTAAACCCCTGCATCCCTCTATTGATGAAGAAACCTAAACCCCTGCATCCCTCTATCGATTAACAAACTTATACAATTTACTTTGAAATGTGAATGGCAAACAATTCCATTTGTGACTTTAGTACTTAATTACATACTGACAAAGTGGACATGGTTTCCTAGAATTCTACATAACTGAATATTGGCACCCACCCCTGAAGTATAAGAAATCTGTACAATGATAAACGTCCATATTGGTTCAGGCTGAGAACAAAATGCATAAGATTTACCTGTTTGGCTTCAGAAGCTTGTGGGGCATCTTTGTTTACAACCAAAACCAGGACGTCTTCAACAGTCAGATAACTTAGCTCATTCGTGTAGGGCTCCTCCCTTGTACACATTTCTGTCAGTAAAATTGCAAACCTACAAAAAAAACACTTATAGGCATGAAAAACAAGCTCAATACTTTACAAAACTGTGGTAATTAATGTGGCTTATACGCATTCATATGTCGATTTGATTATAAAATCTTTTAAAAAAAAGTCATCAACCTAACCATAACACAGGAGGACAAACCTTTATGTTAACTGCTCTTCACCAAAACAGGTCAGTATATTGTGTGAACTAAATGACTTTGTTAATTTCACAGTTCAATTAAGAGCTATTGCAAGAATGGCAGACTTGTACCCCAAATGCCAAGAACTGTATGAATACTTCTTTTAGAACATTTTTTTAAAACTAACAAGAAAAAGTAATTTGCAATCCATAGTCCCTCACCAGTAATGATTTCTCTATACATTTTTCCAAGGATACAAGTCACAGTGACATACTTCTTGTACTCCGCCAGCCAAAGACATACTTAGAAAAACTTTTTCAAAAGATAATAAATAATTTGAGGTTCTTGTATACCGCTTTATCACAACCTAGTTCGTAGGTCGTCTCAAAGCCTTTCACAAATTATTATCTGTGGTTATAGGGCCTTCGCAACCAGCCAATATCTTTCTGAACTCCCTGGGGAGCATACAGTCGGTGCTGCCATTTCAAGCATTTGGAACAAGCAGAGTAAAGTATCTTGCTCAAAGAAACAACACATATGTGACTCGAACCCGTAACCCTTCGGTTACGAGCCCAGCGTCCTACCACTAGACTACTTTGCCTCCTCAAGGCACGGTAAGGATAAGGTCAAAGGTCAAAACAGAGGCCACAATTACCTGCTTATTGTACTTGACACTCAGCCATCCTAAGATGTACTTGTGTACCAAAATTAGTTTACTCCAGATGAAAAGTATAGAAGATATGCTGCAGACAATTTTTTTCAAAGGTTGAGGTTAATGTCAAACCACAGGTCAAAGCACCCTAATTTTTATAACTGACATTCCACCATCCTAAGATGTATACATGCATACCAAATATAGATGCATCAGATGTTATAAGTATAGAAGGTATGCCCCAGACAATCTTTTCCAAAGGCTGAGGTCAAAGTCAAAGGTTGAGGTTTAATGGCAAACCATAGATCACAGTGACCTACTTTTTATGCTTGATACTTCGCCATCCCAAGATGTACCTAGTTTGCATATAAAATCTAGTTATTCCAGGTTGAAATAGCATAGAAGATAATATTATGTCCTGCACACAATTTTGTTTAATGTCTAACTTTCATAAAATGGGGCACAACATCAGAATGTGTTGACTGCTTAGTGAAGTTTGATAAATTTGGCTGAAAACTGTAGAAGTTTATGGACAAGATTGTGTCTACAGACAGACAGCCAACCCGATTCCAGTATACACTCCCCTCCCCACTACTAACTTTGCTCAGTTTATGTTGTGTTTACAGTTGCCAGTTTGCTGTGTGGTGGTACTTTGTTACAGAGGGTATAAATATAAAAAGTTCTATAACAGTTTATGTTGTGTTTACAGTTGCCAGTTTGCTGTGTGGTGGTACTTTGTTACAGAGGGTATAAATATAAAAAGTTCTATAACAGTTTATGTTGTGTTTACAGTTGCCAGTTTGCTGTGTGGTGGTACTTTGTTACAGAGGGTATAAATATAAAAAGTTCTATAACAGTTTATGTTGTGTTTACAGTTGCCAGTTTGCTGTGTGTACTTTGTTACAGAGGGTATAAATATAAAAAGTTCTATAACAGTTTATGGTGTGTTTACAGTTGCCAGTTTGCTGTGTGTACTTTGTTACAGAGGGTATAAATATAAAAAGTTCTATAACAGTTTATGGTGTGTTTACAGTTGCCAGTTTGCTGTGTGTACTTTGTTACAGAGGGTATAAATATAAAAAGTTCTATAACAGTTTATGGTGTGTTTACAGTTGCCAGTTTGCTGTGTGTACTTTGTTACAGAGGGTATAAATATAAAAAGTTCTATAACAGTTTATGGTGTGTTTACAGTTGCCAGTTTGCTGTGTGTACTTTGTTACAGAGGGTATAAATATAAAAAGTTCTATAACAGTTTATGGTGTGTTTACAGTTGCCAGTTTGCTGTGTGTACTTTGTTACAGAGGGTATAAATATAAAAAGTTCTATAACAGTTTATGGTGTGTTTACAGTTGCCAGTTTGCTGTGTGTACTTTGTTACAGAGGGTATAAATATAAAAAGTTCTATAACAGTTTATGGTGTGTTTACAGTTGCCAGTTTGCTGTGTGTACTTTGTTACAGAGGGTATAAATATAAAAAGTTCTATAACAGTTTATGGTGTGTTTACAGTTGCCAGTTTGCTGTGTGTACTTTGTTACAGAGGGTATAAATATAAAAAGTTCTATAACAGTTTATGGTGTGTTTACAGTTGCCAGTTTGCTGTGTGTACTTTGTTACAGAGGGTATAAATATAAAAAGTTCTATAACAGTTTATGGTGTGTTTACAGTTGCCAGTTTGCTGTGTGTACTTTGTTACAGAGGGTATAAATATAAAAAGTTCTATAACAGTTTATGGTGTGTTTACAGTTGCCAGTTTGCTGTGTGTACTTTGTTACAGAGGGTATAAATATAAAAAGTTCTATAACAGTTTATGGTGTGTTTACAGTTGCCAGTTTGCTGTGTGTACTTTGTTACAGAGGGTATAAATATAAAAAGTTCTATAACAGTTTATGGTGTGTTTACAGTTGCCAGTTTGCTGTGTGTACTTTGTTACAGAGGGTATAAATATAAAAAGTTCTATAACAGTTTATGGTGTGTTTACAGTTGCCAGTTTGCTGTGTGTACTTTGTTACAGAGGGTATAAATATAAAAAGTTCTATAACAGTTTATGGTGTGTTTACAGTTGCCAGTTTGCTGTGTGTACTTTGTTACAGAGGGTATAAATATAAAAAGTTCTATAACAGTTTATGGTGTGTTTACAGTTGCCAGTTTGCTGTGTGTACTTTGTTACAGAGGGTATAAATATAAAAAGTTCTATAACAGTTTATGGTGTGTTTACAGTTGCCAGTTTGCTGTGTGTACTTTGTTACAGAGGGTATAAATATAAAAAGTTCTATAACAGTTTATGGTGTGTTTACAGTTGCCAGTTTGCTGTGTGTACTTTGTTACAGAGGGTATAAATATAAAAAGTTCTATAACAGTTTATGGTGTGTTTACAGTTGCCAGTTTGCTGTGTGTACTTTGTTACAGAGGGTATAAATATAAAAAGTTCTATAACAGTTTATGGTGTGTTTACAGTTGCCAGTTTGCTGTGTGTACTTTGTTACAGAGGGTATAAATATAAAAAGTTCTATAACAGTTTATGGTGTGTTTACAGTTGCCAGTTTGCTGTGTGTACTTTGTTACAGAGGGTATAAATATAAAAAGTTCTATAACAGTTTATGGTGTGTTTACAGTTGCCAGTTTGCTGTGTGTACTTTGTTACAGAGGGTATAAATATAAAAAGTTCTATAACAGTTTATGGTGTGTTTACAGTTGCCAGTTTGCTGTGTGTACTTTGTTACAGAGGGTATAAATATAAAAAGTTCTATAACAGTTTATGGTGTGTTTACAGTTGCCAGTTTGCTGTGTGTACTTTGTTACAGAGGGTATAAATATAAAAAGTTCTATAACAGTTTATGGTGTGTTTACAGTTGCCAGTTTGCTGTGTGTACTTTGTTACAGAGGGTATAAATATAAAAAGTTCTATAACAGTTTATGGTGTGTTTACAGTTGCCAGTTTGCTGTGTGGTGGTACTTGTTGAATTTGTGGCATCATAAAATCACCACTGCTGTGAAAATTACCCTGTATTAAATAAGTATACAAGTTATTTTTTTTACTATTATGTGCTCTACATACGAATAGATGTCTCCAGCTTTGCTTCCACTTCGTACATCATCTAGTCTTTTAGCTTTTGAAAGAAGTTCTGGTGCAGTCCAAAGTAGCTCACTGTAACGAGACATGATTATTCACATAAAAAATAAGTAATATTAACAAGAAGACTTCTTGGGAAATGTAATTCTATTTGTGGTAGTTGACCTATATCAAACACTATCAGAAGTAAAGCATAGTGTATGTAGAGCCAGGTCAGTTTATGGATGGAGTCTCTGCAGAGACTCACCTGATCACCTCCCATTGTACCAGTGAAATTACTACATGCTGCAGAATTGTAGAATGATTTTGTCGTACTTGACTTGGAAATCTGCAATGTGTTCTCCTTTAAATGCCTTTTGAATTGGGGTCATACCTGCTTTTTGGCAAATCTTCCATGTTTGGTCGAAGTTTTCTGACACCATTATAACGCAGGGTAGGTAAACCAAAGCCTGTGTGCAAAAAGAGGTTTCAACAAATATAAACAGAGCTTTTCAATGGATGCAAAATGTAAAACTTATATTACGTAACCATCATTGGATCATTGACTTGATTGGGAGCTAGCTTCCCTAATTCTACGTCGACAATTCCACACTTGGCTGCATCAACATTTGGCCTACAGATCCACCATGAATTCACTGATTTGTGTAATCGTATAAGTGGTCTAAAAACAGTTTTAACATGATTTAGCAATTATCTGCTTAATGTACATAAAATCTTCAATGTAAACTTTTTGATTATTAAGCTGATTTAGTGGCCATTTTGTTTTTTGAGCATTTCAATCCTTTAAACCTAAAAAAAAACCAGCTTGGTAACTCCCATTTCCAGATCCCTCAAATGAAATGAAAAATTGTTACCGCATTCTACTCAGAAATGGCCAAAGATTTTTTATTTTTTTTAAATGTGGCTTAGTCTTATGACTGCATAATTCTTTTCACATCAGGGACCTTGATCTTAGCCACACTTCTATTGATCTCTATATGAATTTATAATAAACACCTAATCATTGTACTACCTACTGCCACAAAAAGGCGAACTGTTAGTTAGCAAGAAGACTGCAAACTGCATATGATACACCTATCTAGTTATCTAAATCATTGTGAGAGTCAGGTGGATAGGACGGTGTACATATCTACAAAATCATATACAACAGTGACAGAGGTTGAGCTTGTAAACGAGTAAACGAGCAGTACAGGCTATGGTATTCAGAGTGACGTCTTTAAAATCTGACTGAAAACATTTGTCAGGAATGTGTGTACAAACCACTCCCGAGTCCAATCATCTTGTTAGGATTCTGTAACTGTGACTGTCTTTGGGAAGTTCCCAACATGACCTTGACCTTCAACTGGTCTCAAGAGATTGATGTCAGGAATTCTTGTGTGAAATTTCATGAAATTTGGCTAAAGATTTAGTCAGAAACCTGCAGACAATTCAAATGTCAATGGATGGAAAGGACGACGCCAATATTCTCAACTGCTCACAAGTTTTGTTTTTAGAGACCTCAATCTGTAGACCACCAATATGAGTAAAAGTGTTACTGGACATGTTACCACAGACTTACCTGATATTTTACATGTCCATCTGTTATCTACAAGGCAGTTGGACGACTTTAGTCTCCCGTGACATCCAATTTCTGACCTATGTAAAAATTCCATTCCACGACAAATATCTTTGAGAAGAGAGAATCTAAAATCCCATCCTAGTTTGATGCTCTCGTTAGACAACATGTCCTCGAGACTTCCCTGGAACACAACACAATATTGAATAGTGGCAGATAGCAGAATTTCAGCCTGCAGACTTCAAATGCATGACACATACTTTGACAATTATAACTGACATTGAATTATCCTGACCTTTATAAAATAAAAAAGCGTTTATTTGAATTAGACATCTGAAATACTTCACTAATAAACGGAAATCATCAGCCTATCACGGTTACAGGAATTGACCTTGACCTTTTGGCAAACTGAATTTAAAAGTATCTATATACATCAACAAATTGATGCAGTGCTATATATAAACTTTATATAAATAACCAGAGTATCGCAGGGTGGAACAATATACGCCCGTCATATGCCATATAGTGTTATATACTTTCTTACATTGAAATAAGATTTGCATCATTCTAAGAGTGGTTAGCTGACTTGCTGTAAACAATGTAGGAGAAAATCTCTGGACAAAAAATCAAATACTGTAATGAACAAAGGGGAATAACTTTTGCAAAAATTGTCGAATCAAATTTCTTTTAAGGGAGACACAATATCATATCATGATTATAATGTATACCAAGTTTCAAAGAGATCCGTTGAAAAATGTTGGAGAAGATTGCCAGAAAAAAAAAAGTTTAAGCTGGACGGATGACGCCATACCATAATACTCCCGTCAAATTTGACGACGTATAAAAAGATAATTACCTTTGGCGCTACCTCTGTAAGCAAGCCTACACATGGATATTCCAAGCAGGCCCCCACAAATGTGATCAGGTTGTTATGTCTTGTTTCCTTGATGCGTACAACTTCATATCTCAATGCTTCATCCTCTACATTCAGAGACACACAATTGAATTGCTACAAAAAATAAAGAAGGAGAGCTCTTTCAAATGCACAGCAAACTTTATAAATCTTCGTTGAGAAAATGATTAATCTTTCTTTATTGTAAATCTGTAGCCAAGAAATCAAGCCTTAACCCTTAGGCTGCTACATTGATTTCTATGTAAACGGACACCACTGCTGAATTAATTATTGAAATTTATTTTAATTTACTTGATTTTTCAAATGTGCATAACTTGGAAAATATTTGTTATATGTGAAAAAAAGTTTTATGAAAATTGTTCGTTGTTGTCTCTAGTTTATATGAACGTTTTCAATTCTAANAAATGTGATTGGCAAATGATAACAGAGATTATAAACTTCATTTTTGACATAAGACGCTGTATATTTACACGGAGATTCTCAGGTAAAAAGGTCAGGTATTTCGTCAAGAATTGCATGTGATTTGCTACAGGTTTCAGGTCGCCATTCAATAAATTTACTGTCACAGTCGGCATATAGATATATCTTAGCTACGGTCTAGTTTATGATTAAATCACCGATAAAAAGTTTGAAGAAATAAATCGGCTCAAAACGTATCAATGTCAATGTTCAATTCGGCCTCACCTGCAGACGACATGTGCGCCTCGGTCCGCCGATATTTTCCTGTTTGCGTAGAGCACAAAGCCGTTTACTGGAAAGTTACATATTATGTAACACCGAAGTATTTCCACATCAACCATGCCAAACCCTTCAAAACCTTTATTATCATCGTAGGTGACGATGGAGAGTAAATGTTAACCATCATATGCATCGCTTCAATCTACACGTCCGCCATTTTTATGACTTTTTTTTCGATTTGAAATTCTCTCGCACACCTTTGGTTATTACTAGGGTACACTGCCGTGAATACCGAAAGTAATGACAAAACAACCAATCAGAAGCCTTCTACTATACGCGTTCGGGTTTGGTATAGCAACAACCTGACTTCACACTTCCTGGCTACCGATCAAAACCTACAGGCCGAGAAACGACTATTGTCGTGCGTAGCACTAACGGCCCAACTTTTAAAAACGACTAATGTCGTGCGTAGCAGCCTAAGGGTTAACTTACATCTAGGAACAAAGACATATATGTATCACAATCAAATCATATACATATAACAAGAGGCCCAGAGGGCCTGTATCGCTCACCTGGATACCTAAGCAATCATGGCAAACTATTCTCCAAATGAGATCAAGGGAATATGCCAGACCCCAAGGCCAATCCTTGTAGCATAGCTATATTAGATTTTTCATGCCCAGCAATTTTATGTATGGTTATGGGGTGGGGATCTCAACTGTTTCCAAGCTTTGACTCAGAAACTAGGTCCCTAGAGTTGTGGCCAGACCCCAGGATCGATTCTAATAT